CCTATCAACAAGCAAAATATTCTTAGACCAGCTAAAAATTGATGACATTAAGCCATCTTTTTTACTTAAATAAGTTCAGCCATAATCCGTTGCCAGTTTCTTGAGCTTTTTGTTGTTTGTTTGTCTTTACACGCAGATGCATGAATCCCTAAATCAAAACGTCCCATAGTTACACTCTCTGCACTCAGTGCACTGAAATTTAACCAACGTGTTTATTTTAAGATTTTATCCCAGTCTCTTGTTATCACTTTTAAAGCTATCCTTGGCCTTGCCCCGCAATGTATCAGTGACCTGGTTGCAATTCAAAAATATACGTTCAAACGATAGTTTTGATGTTTTCACTAGCAGCCTCCAACAGGTAAATCGCTATCAACAGTAGGAGAGGCCAAAACATCAGGAACTGTACTTGCTTTAGTACTTTTAAATCTTTTAGAAAACCAAGAAAACATTTATGTTCTCTTGTTATCGGTTGATATTTAAGCGATATAAATAAATAAACTATCAAAGCCATAGTTTAGTAGTTTGGTTGAGTGTCCAGAGATTTTTATCTAAAGTTAATGCTTTGTATACCTATGCGTGTCGGATTTTATGGTGGTGTCACAAGGTAAGAAATCATGAATTTGGAAAAAACAGTAGTTAAACTAAATCTCTCTGTGGTGGAAAAGTTATCAACTCAGTTGCTGAATCTAAAATTTTGGAGTTGCTAAGCATTTTCTTGGTCCATTACACAGTCATGTGTTCTTCCTGGTGAAGTCTGAGAATTGGAGAAAAATTATTAAGCACCAAGAAAGTTCATATTTTCGTAAAATGCAGAAGTGTTATTCAGATTACTCTTGACAGCACTCCCAAATCGTTGTCTTCCTAGTAGTTGATTTTATCCATTTTTGGTCAGATCTTGAACACGTTGGTGATTAGCAGCCTAACACGATTCCTATATTACGTGCAATAACTAGTGCGCCACCGGGAATTATAGAGACTTAAACAAGAAGGAAAACTTTGGTCTAAAAAAAACAGCGGAGATGTTCCTTTGACGTGCGTTCATTTAGGCTCTGCCTTACTCGTTTTTACATGTTTGCAAATTTATTCACTCTTATCTGAAGGACTCTCCAATTTACGATCGTTCACATCTGATGAACGAAGTGGCGTGAGGACAACGAAAAATTTGATGTAGTAACATGATAATATCGTACTCATAAAAACTGATCGAATCTTGTGGTAATAACTTATACCAACTGATTTCGATTGGGTGTCCCAGCTTCTCACTGTAACCACGTGAATCTTTTGACAGGCAAAACATTATTGACATTGTTTGATTCATTATTGCTAAAAATTTGCATATCACTATAATTTCCTCGTAATTTGGACCAATAAAATCATGGCGAACCGGCTTCTTTTCTGTACGGTAGAAGTTTTACTCAGTACTGTGGTGTTATGGTTTCCAGTGAAAACCTCGGGTAAGTTTTTAATTTTCGATTTTCAATTTTGGATTCAATAAAAGGACGACCTTCGTTCCCTTTGCAATGTTTCACTTTTAGAACACGCGCAGTTGTTCTTTTGTTGGCACAATAATGATGGCTATTTATTTTCCGATGAAACCTTCTCTCATATTTCTTCATTAACAAGTATATAAGAAAACCATCTTTAAAGCTTAAAAATGTCATAGTCATTTTCGTAATAGAGATTTTTCTTTACCATAAGGTGACCACGCCACTTACATGTGCAGTAATCTTGTGTTATCTTTCATCAGATGATATTCCCGTCTATTTTGTCATTAACGCTCTAAATAATACCACAAAATCTTAATAAAAAAGGCAATGGGTAATAAACGTTTTTTTGTTTTATATTATAAGTCAAAATTTCCATGCATTGAAAAACTTTCTTCGTGCGTCCGACAACATTTTACGACATTTTCACTCGGCGTAGTAATAGTTTAAGTTTACCCTGTTCAGAATTTTAAAATAAACTTTGAAATATTTATTGTATATTATTAAAAGCTACTAAATTGACGACATAAGAGAAACGGAAGCTAAATTTTGTACCAGATTTCAGTTTAACGTGTTCCTCAAAATTTTTGTTGGGTGAACTGCAGCGAAAGGCCGTTACGATATTAATGTATAGGAAAACCGGAAGTCCATGAAATGGAGAAAACGACACAAAATTAAAATTCAGTGGTGTATTGATTTTCTTGACGAATATGCGATGTTTAGATCCTTGGAAATGGTGGGTGCTAATATTCGATCAGAATTTTAGATCTTAGGCCCATTATCATAAATATTTAGGCAGATCACACATTCACTGACAACGTACAGAGTTCAGCACTTCGGTTTACATAATCAGGATAATTTAGATAAGTGGAGTTTTATTGAGGAATAAAGTGTTACTTACCACAACTGTAAAATGGTGTATTCTCTTAAATACAAGAAAAAAGTCAAATCACTGCAAATTTTATAAGATCGCCTCAAAAAAGTTGTTTTATCATTGTAAGTTGTAGTACAGTGATGAAATAGATCCTCTGATTTTTGTTTGAGAGGTTGGTAGCCTGTGCACCAAAGCGAAGTCAAACGTGTTATCTCCAAAAACATCGCTGCTCTTTGGATGAGGATTAGAGAGGCTGTTTTATTATGTTGAGAAAGTAACAGAAGGAGCAAAAAATATAAAAATGAAGTTATATCATCTTATTAAGAATATGTCATATATGTATCGAATGTGAAAATAAAAAGGCAATTAATGAATGGAAAAATCTCTTTGAGCCGTCCTGCAACTGACAGTGTACAGTAAACTTAATTAAAGTTCTTCTGAACTTTTCGTACATTAGCTGTTATTTATGAGATATTCATTAAACCAACTTCAGTTATGGTCATAAATGACATAGTTTACTCCTTTGTGTGTTTGTGTTTTTTCAAGTTTCCTAACCTGGCATGTCTTAGGGTTGATTTCCACCGTCGCGTAATTTTTACGTGCGTACGTGTGTAAAATTTACGTTCGCAAATAAAATAGAGGCAATGCATGAGAGGTCGCTTGTAAGCGTAAAAGTTGAACCTCGCTCAACTTCTCGTATAAGCTCAGCACTTTTTATCTTGCCTCTATTTTAATTTATGTTCGTTAACGTGCAAGGGCGGATTTAGGGGTGGGCCCAGGGTTCGCCGGCCTCCTCTTTGTGGGTTATTAAATATATCAGCATTACATGTTCAATATGGAATCCAGGAATTTGCTAAATTTAAGCGTCCAGATTGCATCTCAGAGAACTTCAATAGCAAAAATTTTCCCGGAGGAGCATGCGCCCGAAACTTCCTAAAAAAGTGCGCCGTTCGCAGTTCTGATGGGCGCTATCGCGCCGATATTGCCACTGTATACTATATCTCTAGGTCCCCTCTATCACCAAATCCTCCGTCCGCCCCTGAATCCACCCTAACAGACATGGTAGGGAACCCAGAGTCGCTTTTGTCTTGTTTACTGTGTTGTTATGAATGATTAGTTGTTCTGAGAAATGAAGTAAAATTTTAAACCCATTTTTTCTGCGTTCAGATTTCTCTCGAGTAGATTGCGAACAGGCTCTCTGAAAAGTGGAAGAAAATTTGGACTAGCGGAAGAGTTTTTCCCCTCAAGGGTACCAAGGGGTTTTACTACCGGGTTCATTCTACATCTCATTCCTTAATAAGCCTATCAACAAGCAAAATATTCTTAGACCAGCTAAAAATTGATGACATTAAGCCATCTTTTTTATTTAAATAAGTTCAGCCATAATCCGTTGCCAGTTTCCTGAGCTTTTTGTTGTTTGTTTGTCTTTACACGCAGAGTTACACTCTCTGCACTCAGTGCACTGAAATTTAACCAACGTGTTTATTTTAAGATTTTATCCCAGTCTCTTGTTATCACTTTTAAAGCTATCCTTGGCCTTGCCCCGCAATGTATCAGTGACCTGGTTGCAATTCAAAAATATACGTTCAAACGATAGTTTTGATGTTTTCACTAGCAGCCTCCAACAGGTAAATCGCTATCAACAGTAGGAGAGGCCAAAACATCAGGAACTGTACTTGCTTTAGTACTTTTAAATCTTTTAGAAAACCAAGAAAACATTTATGTTCTCTTGTTATCGGTTGATATTTAAGCGATATAAATAAATAAACTATCAATCAGATATTAGCCATAGTTTAGTAGTTTGGTTGAGTGTCCAGAGATTTTTATCTAAAGTTAATGCTTTGTATACCTATGCGTGTCGGATTTTATGGTGGTGTCACAAGGTAAGAAATCATGAATTTGGAAAAAACTGTAGTTAAACTAAATCTCTCTGTGGTGGAAAAGTTATCAACTCAGTTGCTGAATCTTGGAGTTGCTAAGCATTTTCTTGGTCCATTACACAGTCATGTGTTCTTCCTGGTGAAGTCTGAGAATTGGAGAAAAATTATTAAGCACCAAGAAAGTTCATATTTTCGTAAAATGCAGAAGTGTTATTTAGATTACTCTTGACAGCACTCCCAAATCGTTGTCTTCCTAGTAGTTGATTTTATCCATTTTTGGTCAGATCTTGAACACGTTGGTGATTAGCAGCCTAACACGATTCCTATATTACGTGCAATAACTAGTGCGCCACCGGGAATTAGAGACTTAAACTAGAAGGAAAACTTTGGTCTAAAAAAAATAGCGGAGATGTTCCTTTGACGTGCGTTCATTTAGGCTCTGCCTTACTCGTTTTTACATGTTTGCAAATTTATTCACTCTTATCTGAAGGACTCTCCAATTTACGATCGTTTACATCTGATGAACGAAGTGGCGTGAGGACAACGAAAAATTTGATGTAGTAACATGATAATATCGTACTCATAAAAACTGATCGAATCTTGTGGTAATAACTTATACCAACTGATTTCGATTGGGTGTCCCAGCTTCTCACTGTAACCACGTGAATCTTTTGACAGGCAAAACATTGACATTGTTTGATTCATTATTGCTAAAAATTTGCATATCACTATAATTTCGTCGTAATTTGGACCAATAAAATCATGGCGAACCGGCTTCTTTTCTGTACCGTAGAAGTTTTACTCAGTGCTGTGGTGTTATGGTTTCCAGTGAAAACCTCGGGTAAGTTTTCAATTTTCGATTTTCAATTTTGGATTCAATAGTAGGACGACCTTCGTTCCCTTCACTTTTAGAACACGCGCAGTTGTTCTTTTGTTGGCGCAATAATGATGGCTATTTATTTTCCGATGAAACCTTCACTCAGATTTCTTCATTAAGAAGTATATAAGAAAACCATCTTTAAAGCTTAAAAATGTCATAATCATTTTCGTAATAGAGATTTTTCTTTACCATAAGGTGACCACGCCACTTACATGTGCAGCAATCTTGTGTTATCTTTCATCAGATGATATTCCCGTCTATTTTGTCATTAACGCTCTAAATAATACCACAAAATCTTAATAAAAAAGGCAATGGGTAATAAACGTTTTTTTGTTTTATATTATAAGTCAAAATTTCCATGCATTGAAAAACTTTCTTCGTGCGTCCGACAACATTTTACGACATTTTCACTCGGCGTAGTAATAGTTTAAGTTTACCCTGTTCAGAATTTTAAAATAAACTTTGAAATATTTATTGTATATTATTAAAAGCTACTAAATTGACGACATAAGAGAAACGGAAGCTAAATTTTGTACCAGATTTCAGTTTAACGTGTTCCTCAAAATTTTTGTTGGGTGAACTGCAGCGAAAGGCCGTTACGATATTAATGTATAGGAAAACCGGAAGTCCATGAAATGGAGAAAACGACACAAAATTAAAATTCAGTGGTGTATTGATTTTCTTGACGAATATGCGATGTTTAGATCCTTGGAAATGGTGGGTGCTAATATTCGATCAGAATTTTAGATCTTAGGCCCATTATCATAAATATTTAGGCAGATCACACATTCACTGACAACGTACAGAGTTCAGCACTTCGGTTTACATAATCAGGATAATTTAGATAAGTGGAGTTTTATTGAGGAATAAAGTGTTACTTCAGTGTAACATGAGCATGTTAAAAGGCACTTTTTAGGGAAATTTAGGATCAGCCGTGATTTTTTAGTCATCCCTGAAATTAGACAGGTAACTACTGGTGACTACCGGTAAAATCTTAAATTTAAAGCGTTTGCATTGAAAAGTGAAAAACCCCAGGCCAAGGTTAATTGCTGAAAATAGGACCAAGCTGGGAGACTTTTTTAACGAAACGTAAGAGATGCATTACTCTTTTAGCAGTGTGATTATACACTTATTAGCAAATCAAATACGGAGAACGATAATTTTATTTTATGCTTCCAATAATGACCTGCCCAAGATAAGAGCACACAAGAAAAATCTTTTCCTGAGAATACATGTACCGGTGGAAACAACCATGCGAGTACACGATTGAGTTGAAACACTGAAAAATGCGAGCACACTAGCTAGTTTTTCTGGTCGTCAGCCATCATAGAACCGAAGGACAATTCTAAAAATGTTTTGCCTTTTGCGTTGTATTGTACAATTTAAAAGATGTGTTGATTATAAATTAAAATTTTGGGTTGACAATAAAACCAGAACTCCACTTCCTCTTCTTGACGATACAAGAACGATATCACAGCAATCTTTATTGATCAAACCTCTCCAGTTGTAAGAACTGTTTGAACGCTGTGAGCGTCCACTAAATGAGAAAAGCTAAGGCTATACGTTGAAAATTTTAGATGTTTAATTTAAGTGACGCGTATAAACATATTTCAGAAAGCTTCATTAGCGTGACTTACAAACCCAAACAACAGGTGCTTCAATTATTTGTTAGATCAGAACACGCCAAAGAACAGCTGCACACTCAGTGTCTACAACAGAATCCCAGCGCATTATTGTTGCTTTAATATAAAAATAAATATTATTTTGGTTAGAAAATTTAAATAGCTTTCTTCCCTGTGAAACAAACGTAGGACGCAAAAATGTTTTGAAACAGAATTGTTTCAAATGGGTTATTTTAATTTGGTAGAGGCAATCATCTAAAGTTCTTTCTTCTAACGCAATGTATTTTTCAGTTTCTAGTTTTCTTTCGAATGAACAAATAGGTGTATCGCTGCTTTAGGCGGATACTGTGAAAGGAAAAATGCCTATCGGTTTGTCCTAATGTCAGTTCTGTCATGGCTACAAACACATAACACCTTTCTCGATCTGCATAATCATTCATATCATAATCAGCCTCATTCAATAATTCTTTATTATAAACACTGTATAGTAATTAGAAATAATGAAATGAATGTATTTTGTGGTTTAATTTAATTATTGAATTTATGTTGCAAGGATGACAGTTTTTACGTTTCTGAGTTTACTGCATTTTTTTCGTTGTAAAAATGAGATCTTAATGGGTTTTAACCTCGTCTTCGGTCTTTTTTATTACTTAGGAATCCGCAAACCATGTAACATACCGTAGACGTAGTCACCGTGACACAAGGCAAATATAAGAATTTTTAATTTTATATAGCTGTGTGTGTACTCTGCCCACAGGCAGGTCCTTCCTTATAGTTCTCGATCTAAGGCGAGCCTGTTGACTGCTACGTAAGTAAGGGCTGCCATTCTTTACTCTATCCAGGATTCCCACTCGAGGTCTTCCAAGTGGACTCTTTCCTATTATTCTTCCCTCGATAAATAATGGGACAAGTTCACCATGCTGTAGGTTATGACCAAGCCAGACTCTCTGGGCCAAATACTTAAACGTGGTTTAGCCAGTGTTCTAAGTCATTTTCAATTTACCCCAACGATTTTATCTAAACTTCATTTATTGTGAACAGTTTTATGAAAGCATGTAGAGAAGACTAGAAAAGCATTTATCTTCTTAAAACAAACCACGAAAGAAGAGATCTGGAGGTTCAATGATCCGTTAAACCGCTGCTTATAAATAATAAATTAGACTTCGTTTAAATATTTGGCCCTCTAAGTTCTGTTGATAACAGACATGATATATGGCTCTCTACTCACCGACACGCCTCAATACTTCATCGTTACAGACTTAATTTGTCAGACCAAGTGATGTTTAAGAACTTTCTCCAAAGGCACATCTCACAGCCATCCAGCCTACGCATGTGTCCTCTTTCTTCAAGTTCCATGATTCGGCTCCATACAGAAGAGTAATCCACATGACAGTCTTCATAATTCTCTTCTTCAGGCAAAGCCAATGCTTTTGTCAGCAGGTCTTTTCTCTTAGTAAACGCGTTCCTTGCTTTGGCTATACTCGATCTAGTTTCTTCTTCACAGGATCCGTCCTGTGTAATGAGGCTCTTAAGGTAGTTAAAGGGCGATTCTTGATTTAATTGTTTACCCGCAACAAAAGATCGTGAATTCCTCACCAGGACTCTTACTTATTTTCATCATGCACCTTAGTCTTCTTAACATTGATCTTCATACCATATTCTTCCGCCGTTTCCTGCTTAGCTACTGGCTGAAAAATGTCTCGTACAGCTTTAGTGTGATTGAAGAAATATTACGAACGTTGACGACTGCGAGTAGTTTCTTATTTTTCCTTAAAGTGGCATTTGCTTAACACGCGAGTGGCAGTAGAGTAGCCGCAAGAACGAGTAGCCAGGGTTTACTGAGGTTCCAGTAAAATAAAACACCATTATCGTTACCCTTATTTATTTAGTTCAAGAGAAAATGATCTCTTGTTTAGTTATATTAGCCCGGCCCATCAATCCTATAATCAACCTCGTTCCCAGGGTTCTCTCCTATAATGGGCTATTATAAATAAGCTACCTTAGGTATCATCCACCCTTAAGCACCCTCCCCGCGTTGATCGGCGCTAGCGCTTTTGCTTTTAATAAATACCACCATAAACCGTACATTTTCTGAAAGCTTAATAGTTCCAGATTATTGCTTATTCCTTTTAAAAAATCAAAATATTAACGCGATTCAGAAATGAGAAGCTTTTTGTGAAAGTGGGTGTCACTGTAAATTTAAGTCCAGGCCAGCCAAAAATAAACGCTTCTTAACACGTTTGACTGAAAAACCGTATCTCAGATTTTTGTCAAGTGGGTTTGTTCTTTTGTTATAAGCAGGTAAAGTTAGGGATAGCAAATCATTAGCACTACCTGTGAAAAAATACTCTTACTCGAAAACGAAAAAAGAAATCAAAATTCGCAGGCACGGTTTTTTAGAAAAACTATCTGACAGTACGTTGGCCAAATTTCGGCCAAATTGGTTCACGGGTTGCCCACTTGGAGTTTAAAACGTACCCTCAACTTGCCCTGATTTTCATTTCGAAAAACAGGGGAAAAAGATTTTTGGCGGCGTATTACCCGTGACGAGATTATAACAGATTATAGCACCAAAGCTGTCAATGTTGATGTATACCAGAAAAGGGACAACAATAGTGACACAGCAGGAAAACGGGTTACAAACGAAACCCGACAACAGAATTTATTTCAAAGGCTCTGCGCTGTTCGATCCTTCTGTTGTAGCCTGAGTATCAGGCCTTCCTAAGGGGCTAGGGGAGAGGAGATTTTGATACTCAGGCTACTTCTGTTGTCGAGAAAGCATCTTTAGTTATTTGCGACTGGCAGTTTTCATTTTGAGCCAAGCCAACTTTTACTCGATGCATTTTCTAAAAGTTCGACACTTCCCTGGAACAATCGACAACAAACCAGTTCCTGGAGTTTTTCTTGAAGCTGCTTTCCCACAACAATAGACTTTCAAAAAAGTCCTTCCTCCGATTTTTATATGGCGCGGGACCTGTCGCGAATTTATCGCTCCGCTCGCTAAGAAACTCGTGAAACTCGATTTCGCGTAGTTTCAATGGTTTTTTCAGAAGTTTGTCACCTTTTAGCTATTTTTCTTGATTGTAGTAGGAGCCCTTGTCGCTCTCTTGTCTCTCACACTTTGCAAAACGATTTTGTCGTCTTCTTTTGTCTTGGAGTCAAGGACGAAAACGGACAAGCTCTTTTTTCTTTTTTGGAGGCATTCACTTCCAAAATCCAGGGGAAAACAGTGAGCACTATACTTGTAGACCACGATTTCTGTCAAATAGCGTGATTAGCTTGGTTCAACAGCGGCATGCGTGTCAAGTATGACGGGACTTGTCAACGATCAATTAAAATAATTAGCATAGAAAAAACTTTAGTGCTCCATAAGCCTGCACAGAAAAAACATTTTTTTCTGGAATTTTTTTAAAAGAAAGCTCTTGATAAGCTCTACTTAATCATCTTAAAATTGAAATTTCGAAAAATGATGATTTTTTACCCGGGATGATACCTTAAGTAGAGATTTTGTTCACGATTTCGTTCATTGCTGTCTTTTGCAGGTCTCCATCCTCCATCAGGGGTGAATGTTGAGGCAGTACACGGATCGGATTTTTTGATTATATCATGGAACTACCAAAGGGATGTCCCCTACTACAGAATTTTGTTCGCTAATCCACCGGATGAGGCTGGTCCTACGCCCGTGTACTGTTTACCTGACAATACAACATGTAGTTACTGCGTGTCAAACCTCAATACACCAGACGTGTCTTGTATTACACTCAACAGCCATTATACGGCGTCCGTCAGTATAAAACTTAACTACGAGCAGCTAGTTAGTGTGAGAGTGGAAGCGTGTAAGGATTTAATCCCAGAAGAATGTCTACAGCGTAGTGAATGGACAAATTATACCATTCCTCCAGGAGGTAAGTTGCAATTGAAACCAAGAGCAAGAGCTACAAATGGGATCCCCTACACAGTTACACTCAATTGGGACTTGGAGATATCAATGGTCTTCACCAGTTTCTCAGGGGTCAAGCGGTCTTTAATTTCTTTTAATGGCAGTAGAGTAGCCGCAAGAACGAGTAGCCAGGGTTTACCGATGTTCCGGTAAAATAAAACACCATTATTATTATCCCTTATTTATTTAGTTATATTAGCACGGCCCATCAATCCTATAATGGGCTGTTATAAATAAGCTACCTTACAGGGATTATTTTGAGTAGAGATTTTGTTCACGATTTCGTTCATTGCTGTCTTTTGCAGGTTTCCAGCCTCCATCAGGGGTGAATATTAAGGCAGTACACGGATCGGATTTTTTGATTATATCATGGAACTACCAAAAAGATGTCCCCTACTACAGAATTTTGTTCGCTAATCCACCGGATGAGGCTGGTCCTACGCCCGTGTACTGTTTACCTGACAATACAACATGTAGTTACTGCGTGTCAAACCTCAATACACCAGACGTGTCTTGTATTACACTCAACAGCCATTATACGGCGTCCATCAGTATAGAACTTGATTACGAGCAGCTAGTTAGTGTGAGAGTGGAAGCGTGTAAGGATTTAAACCCAGACGAATGTCCACAGCTTAGTGAATGGACCAATTATACCATTCCTCCAGGAGGTAAGTTGCAATTGAAACCAAGAGCAAGAGCTTACAAATAGGATCCCCTACACTCAACTGGGACTTACCTCCTCTTTTGTTTAGCTAGCGTGAGGATGAGTTTACGTTGTGTTTTTTTTCTTTCATGGTAGCACCGAGTCCTGTGAGGAATGTTCACGCACGTCCATTGTCGTCAAAAACTGTCGAGGTCAGCTGGACTGCACCAAATCAAACCAGGGGAACGATAGTTCTGTACTCTGTACTTTACAAAAAAGAAAACGTATGTTGTCTGCAAGTTTATGTTTATAGTTGTTATCAGTTTGCTTAGTTTTAAGGGTGGAGAAGGAGGCTGAACATGCGCTGTGAAGACACTAAACTCGTTACCAGGATTTTTCTCTTGTAGATGTGGGGAGGGATTCCTTTTCTTGTAGAGACCTTTTGGATGTAAATGTATTAATATCAAAATTCACAGCGAGGTCCAGAACAGAGGACGTAGCAAAAGAAAAGAATGAACTGTTATCCACATTTTGCTTCCAACCCTGTGTTAAGTGGAAATTGAATATCTTCAAACAAGAGAAATTCTCGTTCTTCAACGTCAGGGAGCCTCAGCAAAGACATTTTTGAGCGACGCACGTCCATCGGAAGTGAGGCCTTCCCCCTTTTTATATGCCTTGACGCACGTTCCTTGACTCTAACAAATTTGTATTTATAGTGCTGAGTGTCCATTCCCTTATAAAGACCATTTGCCCGAGAGTTTGAACCAAACCACAGCCAAAGGATGCAAAAATTCCACATCTGGTTGAAATGCTCGCTCAACGCTGTTACTTAGGCTCCCTTTGATTGATTAAGGAAAACTCGGGGGAATAAATTATGTGGCAAATCACTCGCGAAAAGTGAGGAGAGCAGGGGCGTAGATACCTGTACGCATGGTACGCTCGTGCGCGCCTAAAACAAGCCGTGTGTACAAAAAAGATATAAAATGAATAGACAATAAAAAATGAAAAGTTAATTCTAAAAAGAAAGCAAAATATCTAAAGATAATTATTTTAAGAGCACAGTTTGCCTCAATTCATTCAACTCTGGTTGCTTCTTAGAAATATATATTTTTTTGTAAAACAACCATCCGGGTTTTTTTTTTCCCTCTCCACCCAAATGTCGGTTCCCAGAGAAACGAAGTAATTCATAATGGACCGAATCTTGAATAACATATATATCTAGGGAAAAGATGGCAGGCGTTTTTACTAAAAACGTGCTCAGATTGCTAACCGTTTACGCACATTGATAAATCCTGGGAGCAACGACAAAGGCAACGGTGACGGCGACGGCAATGAGCCCAATAAGTAAATGAAAAACAACAAATTTTGTACGTCCAGAGCGCTTTTCTTTACAACCTGTGCGAACACGACCGTAAATTCCCTTTTGCGCCGTTGTTCGGAGGACGTAAACACAGGGGCAAATTCAGTTTCTTCTTCTCAGTCCGAACTTGGGTGCGGTCCGCAGGGCATCCGAAGGGAAGTTCGCCTATATTTACCACTTTACGAGAATTGTCGGCGATAAACGCGAAAAAGTTAAAAAAAAAAAAAACGGGCATTCGGCATTTTGATAGATAGGGACGTTTTCGTTGCCCTCGCCGTCGTCGTTTCTAGGCAACCTATATTCATGAAAGTGACAGTTCTATTTTGGTTTTACTGCAAGCCGCAAAGTATCCGGATAAGTTGGACAAATTGTTTATACTGCAAAACTTTGCGAATTTACAAGGCATTGGTTTCAAAATCAATAGAGACTTGACCAAATCGGCACCTTTTCAATTCGGATTCACGTGCTACATCTGCTTAATATAAAAACGACGAACGGACCCAGTAACAAAATAAAGTAATGAACCCGGAAAAAGTATGTATCCTTATTGCATGATAGATGATTGACGTGCATCATGCATCAGTCAATTCACCCAAAGACCCGAAAAAGTATTTCAGACGTTGCTAAATGTTATATCATATGCAGAAAAAAAAACTCTTAGGCTTAAAAGTAAAACGTTACCAAATCTTTAGTCAAGGAAGTTGTTTTTTTGTTTTTTTGTTTTTTTTGCGTTAGCGGGGTGGGGGGAAGGTTGTTCAAAGCGATTTGGAGAATTGTGCGTACCTCTGAAAAAATCCTGGCTACGCCCCTGGAGAGTCGAACATAGATGGCTTATTCAATGCTTTGCTCCTCGAGTCTATCACAGATCAGTCAGTAAACCCGAAACAATGATACTCATCCTATTCTTATTTCTTTCTTTCAATTCTTAATATCACTAGGATCAAGAGATGAAAAGGGTGTTTAGAAACGCTGGGAAAGGAATTCTAACGCGGCTGTCTGCAAAAACAACATATAAAATCTGGGTAACGGCGTCTACATCTAACAGAGAAGGACAGCGTTCTACTTTGACTACCGTGGAAACCTGTGAGTACTTCTTAGTTCAAATCAAGGGTGGATTTCTGTATCTTTTTAACTTTGAAGTGATAAGCCTCCTATTTTATTGCCTTATATTTTTCATTTCTCTTGTTTCCAACTTTTGTTAGACGCTGACGAATGTGAGTCTAGTCCCTGTAAAAACAATGGAAAATGTCACTTGTATGGCGGCTCTTACAAATGTCTATGCGAAGAGCACTGGGAAGGACCGAGATGTGAGAGTAAGTTTTTACCGGACTTAATAGATGAACTGAAAGTTACCCCGCTGAAAGAAGTAATATTTAAACTAAAGGCATTCTTTGGCAATCTTGTCGTAAAAACTAGAATGCAACAAACGTTAACAGTTGGCCTTTTTCACTTTTCACTGCCAAGATGAAATGGCTGTGCGCATGCGTATCTTGGAGTATGGTAGAGCAACCTTTAAAGAGCAACCTTGCTGTTTCGTTCTTCGGGGTCGTAATCGTTAAAGGTGAACGGACGCCCTGACTTGAGATAAGTCGTATGAAATGTTGCAAAGATGCTCAAATTCACCGTCGTTTCTTTTGGGCACGTGGTCTTGTTCTTACAGGACCTCGGTAAGAGAATTTTTGCTTGCGTACGCATGTAAATTTTAAGCGTGTAAGTAAAATAGATCGAGGCAATGCATGGGAGTTCGTTCGTAAACGTAAAAGTTCACTCGCAGCTTTCATACATTTTCTCTTTTGTATTCACGCTAGTAAATTTTACGTTCATGCGCACGTAAAAACACAGTTGAAACCCACACTAAAAGTGGATTTTTATTGTTGCGTAAATTTTACGTGGGTATGGGTATGAACAAAGAAATGAAGTCTTCCTCAATGTTCTTATTTAGAGCGATATAAAAAAAAATCAGAGGATCCTAAAGTGATCAGGAAATGAAAGAGAGGAGAATAAACAGTCTCGAAAAATTACAATATGCCACTTCCACATTTCCCATAATGCACCTCATTTGCTCCTCAAATTTTGCATAAGCATTGTTTTCAATTTCTCTTGGGACGGCTGTAATACCCAGAAGAAATGAAAAACAAAGGTTATGAAACATATTTTTTTTTGGGGGGGGGGGAGGGGAGGGGGCAAATAAAGTGCATTATGGGAAATGTGGAAGTGGCGTATTGGCCGGGCCTATGGTCACAGGAATACACAGTAATTTTCAAAGTAACCATTGCAATAAAACGTATATCAAGTAGCAAAATGACCACAGAAGAAAACAAATGAATCAAAGTTGGCCAAAGAAACTGAACAAGAGATTGTAAGTTATAATACCTCAGTACAGCAACCTCGTTACCAGGCTCTCCCTTCTGTCAACTACGAGGATAACCTGGTTTTAAATAGAAAATAATCTGGAAACGAGTTCTCAGTGGAAGTGACTTAATTAAGTGCTATTTTCAGTTCCCGAAGGGTTTTATATGAAGGCGAAAAAATGTCTTGACGCGGGAAGAGAGGGCAACTCCTCACTTTACAGCAATGTCAGCCTGGAATTTTGTGTTAAAGAGTGCAGAGCTATTTCAAGGTAAAAACAATGCAGTGAACTGAAATTGTGCAGTGATTAATTTGATTTTACCTAAAAGTTCCCCAAAGGATATACACCTTCTCAAATACCGCCAGGGACCTCCCGCTGGACAAGGAGGTTGAGGGATCAGGGTATGAGATAAAAGGGATGAAATCTAGCCTGAGAAAACAGCCGCGTGGGAAATTTATTTCAAACAATCAGAAGCACTACCTAGATCTGGGTAGTGACGCGTCATCAGTATGAAATTTCTGCGCTCGTTTCTCAGTCGTCAGTTGGCGGGGAAACCAGTGGTAGCATCGCCAAATGTCGGCTGTTTTCTCAGGATAGATGAAATATTGAAGGCAAGGATAGACATTTGTTAAAAATGAGTAATGGGGACCATGCTATTATCATGACATCTTTCTTATTTTTTGTTTCGCGAATCTTATTTTCTGCATCAAAGAAATGAAATATAGAAATGAGCAGCCCCATTCTCTCTTGGCAGCCCTATGGTAATCATAAAAAAGCACAGCGTGGTATTTGCTTGGCAAGGGCTTTCCATCTGCATAACGTTTGCCAGACTCAGACCTAACTCACTTAGACCGCGTTTAAAAGAGCCAGTAGAGTAAAAGTTTGACATTTAAAATATTAGTTTTTCAGCCTGGGCTGAATGCATTTCCCATCTGATTCATGATAAAATAAAAGTAATTTTGTTAGATACTGGCTGAGCTCCGTTTCAATAATAACTGACAGTTAACCTATAATATATCCATTTTTTGCAGTTGCAAATCGTTTGAATATGGACTGGGGTACAACAGCAGTGGAACATTTGTGAATACTCTTCACATAAAATCTCTTGGACTCTGCAAACTGCAACATGCTAGCGTATCACACCAACCGCTTAATGATTGTCCCTATGACTACTACGAAAAGAAGCCTCCTGTATCTTCGAGCTCGGATGTGTTTTTATCAAAAGCATTATTTACAGGGCATCTTGCTTTGATGACTTCCGTGACAGCGATCCTGAGTCTGAGCCCTTTAGCTCTTGTTTGATTGTTGATTTTGGCAAATTAAGCAACCACAAGTGAACAAATAACGACAAACGCTCATTGGAATTTAGCTTGCAGGCAGGCGTTTTCAGACGGGCGCCCAAGCACTTGGATTTGCAGGGGTTGTTATCGCGCTTTATTCTATTATTCTGACTTCAAAATCAATCCACTTAGGGGATACTGAAGCTCGCTCACTCGCCATACAGCCCCCCC